TTCTCCAGCTGGATTTGGTACAAAAGGACCCATAAAACCTCATGGAACAGAGCTCTTGGTGAGGGCAGGACCCAAGCACCAATCCCTGCAGAGCCCAAACCTCACCTGTCATTGCTGCAGCTGTGTTTGATAAAACAGAACCCAGCAAAACTCACAGGAACAGAGCTCCTGGTGAGGGCAGGGGCAGGGCAGGACCCCAGAACGATCCTGCAGAGCCAGAGCCTTACCTGCCACTGCTCCAGATGTGTTTGGTACAACAGAACCCAGCAAAACTCATAAACAGAGCTCTTGGTGAGAGCAGGACCCCAGAACGATCCTGCAGAGCCCAAACCTCACCTGCCATTGCTCCAGTTGCGTTTAGTACAACAGAACCCAGCAAAACTCATGGAACAGAGCTCATGGTGAGGGCTGGACCCAAGCACCAATCCCTGCAGAGCCAAAACCTCACCTGACCATTGCTCCAGCTGTGCTTGGTACAACAGAACCCAGCAAAACTCACAGGAACAGAGCTCTTGGTCAGGGCAGAACCCCAGAATGATCCTGCAGAGCCCAAACCTCACCTGCCCCTTTCTCCAGCTGTATTTGGTACAAAAGGACCCATAAAACCTCATGGAACAGAGCTGGGGAGAACAGGGGCAGGGCTGGACTCCAGAATGATCCTGCAGAGCCCAAACCCCACCTGCCACTGCTCCAGCTGTGCTTGGTACAACAGAAGGCAGCAAAACTCATGGAACAGAGCTCTTGGTGAGAGCAGGGGCAGGGCAGAACCCCAGAATGATCCTGCAGAACCCAAACCTCACCTGCCACTGCTCCAGTTGTGTCTGGCACAACAGAACCCATCAGGACTCATGGAACAGAGCTCTTGGTGAGGGCAGAACCCCAACACTGATCCCTGCAGAGCCCAAACCTCACCTGACCATTGCTCCAGTTGTGTCTGGCACAACAGAACCCAGCAAAACTCATGGAACAGAGCTCTTGGTGAGGGCTGGACCCAAGCACCAATCCCTGCAGAGCCAAAACCTCACCTGTCATTGCTGCAGCTGTGTTTGCTAAAACAGAACCCAGCAAAACTCATGGAACAGAGCTCCTGGTGAGGGCAGGGGCAGGGCAGGACCCCAGAATGATCCTGCAGAGCCAGAGCCTCACCTGACCATTGCTCCAGCTGTGCTTGGTACAAAAGGACCCATAAAACCTCATGGAACTGAGCTCTTGGTGAGGGCTGGACCCAAGCACCAATCCCTGCAGAGCGAAAACCTCACCTGCCATTGCTCCAGCTGTGCTTGGTAACACAGAACCCAGCAAAACTCATGGAACAGAGCTCTTGGTGAGGGCAGGACCCCAGAACGATCCTGCAGAGCCAAAGCCTCACCTGCCCCTTGCTCCAGCTGTGTTTGGTACAACAGAACCCAGCAAAATTCACAGGAACAGAGCTCTTGGTGAGGGCAGGACCCCATAATAATCCTGCAGAGCCCAAACCTCACCCGCCCCTTTCTCCAGCTGGATTTGGTACAAAAGGACCCATAAAACCTCATGGAACAGAGCTCTTGGTGAGGGCAGGACCCAAGCACCAATCCCTGC